GCCTTTTCCTTCAGTGCCCATTACTGCTAGGTCAGAGATCTCTGGGGAACTGACCCTCAGACCACGGTCTGTGTAGCTGGTTGTACACAACCAGTGAGTTGATATTCAGAGTGACATGGCACCTGTTTCCCTGAGACCTGGATCTGTTCAGGACACCAGGAATCTGGACTTGTCCAGACGGGCTGTCGGTGCCCAGGTGTGACAGTACCTCTCCAGCAGTGCCAGGCTGTGCTGCAGCCCCTGTTCTGTGGATAACAGAAGGCCAGGATGTAGGCTGTTCAAACAGTGAGGCAGCTAGACAGTAGGGGCACTACTGAGCTGCCAGCCTCTCCAACCCCCATGATTCCCCAGTAAGATTACGGTACGTAACAGGCACACAATGGGGACATTTACAAGGATTCCCCATATTCAGGTTAACTGTGCTTTGAATAAAATACTTGGGAGCAGACTCAAATCTGGATTCAGATACCTTTTACTTTTCATTTTTCTTGCTTTAGAAAATTCTTCTGCTGTTCTATAGGCTTTGAATCTTTAAATCTAATAGGGCAATGGGCAAAAAAGCAAGCTTTATTACATATTCCAAGAAAGTTATATGGTTAATCCACAAGAGCCTGAAAGTGTGTAAGTTATGAGATCATGTACACCCTCTCCAAAAATGTATTGCTCCTGCACACTTATCAGTAGAAACAATACAGATAGTTGTAGAACACACACTTTAAATGTGATAGCATGAGAGGGAACAGGAAGCCTAATAATAACAATAATTATAATAATTGCTTTCGGGTGCTTAAACCTGAAGAAGGCTCCACAGCCAAAACATTGTGTTTTCTTTCTTCTCTTTTTAATAATAATAATAATAATAATAATAATAATAATAATAATAATAATATTAATTATTATTGCTATTAATGATAATAATAATAATAATAATAATTGTTTACACTTATATAGCGCTTTTCTGGACACTCCACTTCAAAGCACTTTACAGGTAATGGGGATCCCCTCCACCAACACCAATGTGCAGCCCCACCTGGATGATGCGATGGCAGCCATAGTGCGCCAGAACGCTCACCACACATCAGCTATCAGTGGGGAGGACAGCAGAGTGATGAAGCCAATTCATAGATAGGGATTATTAGGAGGCCACGACTGGTAAATGTAACGAACAGTTCTTTCCGGACCCTATGCGGACGACACAGTCCGACGGAGTGGGGAAACACTGGGGAAACGTCATGCAGGAAAACGGGGCTGAAGACAGGGGGGCGTGTCCAAGGTGCGCTGGTGCACGGGGGAGGTGTGGCCGAGGCAAACAATCCGAGAGAGTAGTCCTTAGGGAAAATCCAAAACGCAAGAGTAAGTCCAAAACCAGGAGATCCATCAGAACAAGTTAAAAACCACGAAGGCCGGGTCGGAACCGGCGGACGGAGAACAGGAACGGGAACGGGAACGGGAACGGGAACGGGAACAGAGTTTAAAACCTTAACGGGACCAGGCGCTTACAGGTCCCGGACTCGCACGATATGGAAATCAGATGCAGAGCCCGGATGAGCGCCAGCGCCTGGCTTTTAAGGTGGGCTGGGAATAGGGAGCAGGTGCATAGAATACAGTCTTGAGTGAAAGGGCTGGAGCACCCTTAAGGAGGGGGAACTAATATCGTGACAGTAAGGGCCAATGGGAAATGTTGCCAGGACACTGGGGTTACACCCCTACTCCTTTCGAGAATCACCCGGACATTTTTAGTGCCCACAGAGAATCAGGACCTCGGTTTTATGTGTCATCCGAAGGACGACGCCTGTTTACAGTATAGTGTCCCTATCACTATACCGGGGCATTAAGACCCACATGGACCGCAGGGTGAGCGCCCCCTGCTGTCCCCACTAACACCTCTTCCAGCAGCAACCTTAGTTTTTCCCAGGAGGAATTTCATCCAGGTACTAACCAGGCTCAAACCTGCTGAGCTTCAGTGGGTTGCCAGTTAGGAGTTGCAGGTGATATGGCTGCTGGCCATTAAATATTTTAAGTACAGCACATAAAGCACAGTCCCTGCCCATCCCTTCCAGAACTCTTACCCTTCATGTCCCCTGCTCGGCCTGCCAGAAAGTGTGTGGCTCCTGTGTTGATCTCATCAGGCACTTCAGGATCATGGAGCCCAGTGACGCTGGGCTGTGAGGGACAGCCAGTGAGAAAATCTGCACAAGGAGCCCCTATACTCGATCAGATGTTCCCAGCGGCTGACAGAACACAGAGCTTTCCTAATCCTGAATCCTCAACCCCCGGCACATCATCTGTCTTTTTTTTTTGGTTCCAGCTTGGATCTTAATTGCTTAATTGAACTAATTATTTGGATTTGAAGTTGAATCTCTGGTTCTAATCAGGTGCAAACTGAAAAACGTGCAACCTGTTTAATTTATTCTCTGGGTCTAGAGGTAACCACTGCTAATCTATGGGATCCGTCAGAAAGGAAAGAAAATGCTTTCACTCTTTTAGAGAGTCCTAACATCACAGAATCAATGGCCAACAACAGTTGGGAAATAGTTCATTGGTAATAATTGAAAACAAGCAATATTTAGCTTCACAATCAAGCCAGGTCCAGTTACAGTCTGACTCATCACTAGAGGTTAAATGTAACACACAACCTACCCATTTATACTGCTGAATATGTCAATCTGAGGAAAGCAATGTCTGTCATATTAGGATATACAACAGCCAGGATTTGAACCCGTAACTTTCTAGAGAAAAATGCAGAGCCCTAACTACTGCCACCTCTTGTTCAGTGAAGACTGGATCGTGCTCTGGATGCTGAAGTAGTGTGTGTTTTTAAACTTCGCACTGAGTGCAGAAAAGGGTAAATGCAGTTTACAAGCAGGTCAGTTACAGACATCAGATGGTACTGGTGTTTTTGAGCTCAGCTGATATAACACCAGAATCGGGGATGGGAACCGTTGTTCCTGACTGAGGAGGCGTGTCATGCTTTCTATATTGTGTTCTACACTGGATTCCAAATGATTCCAGAATCAGGTGGACAGACACTAATTAGCTTGTTGTGTAATTTGGAAGGCAGTAGGTTGAAGCACAGGTAATTTACAAATGGTATTAAGGGGTGTGTACACTGCAATGCATTTTTCTACCTTTCCATTTGTATTTACGTTTCACAATGTTTGAGCATTTGTTTTTCACTTGGAGGTTGTGTGTCACAATGCGTAATTAAATAAATTCTAGTTCAATTTTAGGCAGTAAGGCCACAAAATGTGTTACTTTGGAAGGGGTGTGTAGAGCTCCTATAGGCATTGTGCAAAACCATAAATTCAGTAAGATGGGCTGAACGATCTTTCCTATGTTCTTATAATTGATGTATATTTAGGCACATTCTACAAATCATCAGAAGCTAAATAAATTAATAATGATAATGATAAAGCCTCAGCCCCCAGGTCCCAATGTGGGTCAAGTGCAATGAGGTCGTTCAACCTCAGCTGCCGCAACAGTGGAAAAGCAATGAAAAGCAGCCAGAAGTTTGAGGGGAAGGACCGCAGGGAACTGCAGCAAGCCTGTAAACTGGAGCTCCAAGGGGAAAACTCTTGGAACAACAACCAGGGCTGTGCCTGCTCTGTGGGGATGGCGAGGAGTTTTGGTTCGGGAATGGTGTCCATGAAGACAAGAGACAGCATCTCCTGGTTAATATATAATAGTCAATAGCAGGCAGAATGTATGATGGAGTAAGGGCTGTTTGGCCAAGGAGAGCAATAAAGCTCAAAGTGGCACCACCAAGCCTGTCCCGAGGTATCCCATGACTCCTTGCTGACGTGCCCCAGCTGAACATACATGGTCCCGAGGTGTCATACCCTAACACAGCGAGGACCAGAACTGCTCCAGTTCAGGCGGTGAAGAAAACCCGCTTCACTGAAAACAACCGCAAAAAAAACAACTGCCGTGGTTACGCGTATAGGACCAACCCATATTACTTCAGGGAAAATGAAAAACATGCTGCAAATACCACAGAAGGAAAAAAAAAGTGCCAAGAGGAAACTGTGTTCAGGTTGGGCAGTGGAAAAAGCAAAAGTCTGGTTCGTGTATGGCGGGCTGGGATTTTGAGAAGGCTCCAAGATTTCGTCCTCAATGCTATTCTCCGTCTAACCCCTTCGGAAGAGCTGGAGTGTACACAGAGTCTGAGGATCGTTTCCTCTGTGGCTCATCTGTAAAAACTTAGTCATCCTCTGGGGCTGTGATGACATCAGCGTGGTTGTGTGGCTTCTGCTATGTTACCATGTGAACAAACAGAACACACAAGGTCACAACAGAACAAAACATCTTTAACAATCAAAGGCTGTTAAAAAAACATTCTCACTAGACTCTCAAGGAGGGCTTCAATAGTGACAACATTTTTTTTTATTTCCATGTCTTGTGCTCTTCTGAATTAGAATTATTTGTGAGTGTTGCCTTATCTCTTTCATGGGTCTAGTTCCTAGAGCACTTTAGGTGTTTATGAAACAAACAAAATTGACAGAAGCGTTAGATGTGCTTCACCTTCACCAATAACATCATTATTTTATTACTTTTGTTGACAATGTTGTGAAATTGAATAAATGTGTTTATATCTCATTGCCACTAATAAAATAATAATTAGAAGAAGCGCGTTCTTGTTTTGTAACTTTGTTTTAACTTTTTTGGGGATTTAAGAAAACGTTTCTTACATAATTCCTTATAGTTTTTAATTTCCTAAGATAATTAATTATAATACACCTTTAACTTCATTAAAAGATTAATTCGAGGCCCACACTCCGGTGTTTACAGCTGCCTTCATCTCGCCTACGCAAAAAGTAAAGAACACGAACGCCTGGTCTTTCTGTCACAAGTCTTGCCATTGGCCAATTCAATGCTTTTTCGTCGTCTGCAATGGCGTCTTTCAGACATCGCGATAACTCGAGAAGCTTCCCCCCACCTTCTTTGTAAACGTGGGGGGATGGGCTTGCCAATAAAGTCTCGCGGTATTAGGCTGTGTTCTATTCCACGGGCCAGTGGAAGGTGTCGGGCAGAGAGACTCGAGTCGAGCGTAGATACGGACGTACTGCGATTTAGAGGAATTCAAAAAAGACTTCTATTCTTATATATAAACAAATATTAATTGTTACGCCTTTTTCTTTCTTTTATCTGAACCTTGGAAGAATACCAACTTCAAGAAAACCGAAGAAGGGGCAAACGAAGAGCGAGGAGAGAGGGGGGAAAAAAAATCAGCCTAACAAAGAAGACGCTTTTTTATTTTTTTTTTCTCCGCTGAAAGAAAACCAGTCCTTATTATTCTTTAGTTATGAGTCATGTGGCCGTCGAAAATGCACCCAGTCTAGATCAGCAGGTGGGTTAACGGACGCGGCCGGCCGGTGTGGCGCGGGAGGCTGCCCCGCGCGGCCCCGGCTCCCCGGCTCGAGCTGGTCAAAATGGTGGCGGGGCTGTGATGGCGGAGCTGCGCGTCTCACTGCGCCATGGCGGCTTTTGTTGGGAGCGGACGCCGGCATCGCGGTGCGCTTTCTCCGCCGGGGTCGAACTCTGTGAAGTGGTCGCAGGAGGGCTCGTCGTGTTTTAAACAGATATCGGTGTCCGTTTCCTGCCGACGGTTGTTTTTGTTCGAATGGAGCCGTGGTGTTTTAAAAAATACTACGTGTGCCCGCCCCCCCCCTCCTGTTTTCCGTCATTTTTTCCACCATCGGCGCAGTCGATTTTTTTATATCCGTCTTCAGCACCTGATGGTGATATTCCTCATGGTATTAAAAAAAAAAAGAGTTCTAACATCTGTATTTCTTAACCGCTCAAGTGTAAAATGCGGTTTATTGTAAGAAGTGTCTTCCGTTCTGTAACTGCGTTTCTTAAAATGTCCGTTTTGTGATGGGGTGGGGGGGGGTGGACTGCGAGGTAGTTTAATGCGTTGTTCGGCCTGTTACCGTCTTAGTTTTTTTTTATTCTTCAAACTCCCGGATTGACGTAGTTATATTTGCCTGGTCCTATTTGAGATACGTCAACATAGGAAGCCGTAAACGTCTAACGAGAGATGAGTTTTTTGGGGGAGCGAAACTCGTCACAGTACCGCTGGATGGTTTATGAGTTGGGTTTCTAATCGATAGAAGAATATGCACTCGGGCGGATTTGAACCTAGTGTAAAAATGGCTTCGTATCTATAATGTCGAC